CTCCTCAGTAGCGATCCCGGGACATCAGGGAGGCGCTTATATAGTTTTACTGCATGTCCAAGTTGACAACCTCACGTCATCAATCACGCTAGACCTAAACTACCGTGACTGAGTAATAGGAGCAAGTAATTCCGAAAGCAGATCAAAATGACCATTTGGTGTCAGAAAAACAGTCGAGATCTTATCCCTTTATGAGATCAATGTTCCCAGTAGAAATGTAAGATTAAATTACATGCCGGCCGTCCTGCCGAAGTTGTCCTGAAATTTATCCATTTTTCAGGCTTGAACCGAGTGTTCTACTTATACAACGTACATGTAGATTTGTCTTTGTGAATTATGAACACTTAAACAGTGCATGCATTATTCAGACTACCGTTAGCAAACATATAGCGAATGTTATGAGAATGAATGAATTAACACAATTTTTCTCGTCGTTTACATCTCTTATATACATGCTTTGATCAGAGTAAATTAAATTCTGTAGCTTTAAAAAACTTGTTGCTTTCAACTCGGCTTATTATTTTCAAAACCTTCCTTGTAAAATGTCACAATAGAAATTGAACAATTTATCCATTCGGTGTGAAAATCAAAAACTTTTATTTAGACGGCAGATGTCTCTATTGTGGCGGGAGAGACATTTGGCATCTAGTAAAACATGTTAGACATGACAGCGTTGTACTTCCGGAAGTTGTGTGTGCTAGCTGGTCCGGGATTTGATTATCCTGGCTTTCCCAATAAGTGTGGTAATCGGAAACAGTTTTATTCACTTCTTAATTAGAGCTAATTAGAATAAGACCGACATTATCTTCAAATTATTTCTTCGTTGATTCAATCATGAGGCAAAATTATGTATATTCTCGCTGCCTCCAGAGCGTTGGACCCATGGTTGAACTATATGAGGTTGACCCACGAGAAGTTCCGTCTTTCAGTTCAGCTTTCTTGTTACGTCACGTAGATCAAGAAACGTAAACAAACCCGTCATTCTCATGACGGAATGACTGACTGGTTTGATCGCATTTCGGTGATTGGTTAATGCCCGTGACGTCACTGAGATCAGTGACGTCACAGGCGAACAACAAACTACATCCGCAAAAATAGGCTTCTGATGGTCAACCTTATACTAGTTCAACCATGGCTGGACCGTTCCGCAGTTTAGGTAAAATTCACCGGGTGCAGCTGATTAAGAGCAATGCGACTTATAAAAACTAAAAGTTCATAGAGCGCAAGCTTTAAATTCTATAGTTCGCATAAAGCATTTTGAAAATCTATTATTGTGTAAGAGTGAGAGGAAAATTCGTTAAAATATAATACGCGTCACGCACAAAAAGTATATGCTAATCACACATACGACCTACGACTCAACATGTTACATGTGTCCACACTGTCTGGTCAAGGCAAACTACCTGTTCGACCTTGACGAATTTGACAAAGAAAATGTTTCGGCGCGACAAGGTCCGAATTTGACAAGGTCGCCCATGCGCTTATAGGAAGTAGGTAGCAGCCATACCTTGAAATGACTCGCTGGAACAAAGGAGAGTTTTACATTTTCGTGTCGTCACGACAGGCGCGCATCACTCAGATAAATGAGTGAAACTTTGTCTGAATAGTGATGTACTTTTTAACTCCGTGTGGGTCATCGTGACCCGGTTGGACATGGCATAAAGACGTAAAATTTCTTCTCGCAGGCAGTGTTAGTATAATTTTTGTACAATATGGACTGCGTATTTTTCTAAGACTTTGTACCAAAAATCCGCTTCTATTATTTCGCCAGCAACTTTTCGTGCTGTTGTGTGGGCGCGTGAACTGGAACTATAAGAGTCATCTCGGACATGAAGAAAAGAATCGTAGAGATGAATAGATGAATATGTGCGGTGTAAGGTGGATAGTTGCTGTGTGAGGTGGATACGAGAGGTGTGAGGTGAATATATACGTGCGGTGTGAGGTGGATACGTGCGGTGTTCGGTGGACATGTGCGGTGTGAGGTGGATACGTGCTGTGTGAGGTGGATACGAGAGGTGTGAGGTGGATACGTGCGGTGTGAGGTGGATACGTGTTGAGGTGAATACGTGCGGTGTTTGGTGGATACGTGAGGTGTGAGGTGGATACGTGCGGTGTTCGGTGGATACGTGAGGTGTGAGGTGGATACGTGTGGTGTGAGGTGGATACGTGAGGTGTGACGTGGATACGAGCGGTGTGAGGTGGATACGTGAGGTGTGAGGTGGATACGTGCGGTGTGAGGTGGATACGTGATATGTGAGGTGGATACGTGATGTGTGAGGTGGATACGAAAGGTGTGAGGTGGATACGAGCGGTGTGAGGTGGATACGAGAGGTGTGAGGTGGATACGTGCGGTGTTCGGTGGATACGTGATGTGTGAGGTGGATACGTGCGGTGTGAGGTGGATACGTGAGGTGTGAGGTGGATACGTGCGGTGTGAGGTGGATACGAGCGGTGTGAGGTGGATACGTGTATTGTGAGGTGGATACGTGTGGTGTGTCGTGGATACGAGCGGTGTGAGGTGGATACGTGCTATGTGAGGTGGATACGTGCTATGTGAGATGGATACGTGTGGTGTGAGGTGGATACGTGCGGTGTGATGGAGATACGAGCGGTGTGAGGTGGATACGTGAGGTGTGAGGTGGATACGTGCGGTGTGAGGTGGATACGTGATGTGTGAGGTGGATACGTGCTGTGTGAGGTGGATACGTGCGGTGTGAAACGGATACGTGCGGTTTGAAGTGGATGCCATGGTGATGACTATGGATCTATTTTTCAGATAGCAGATATAATCGAGAAGATGTCGTACACAAGTTCTGAGCTTTGAGGAATTTTATTTAATAAATCTTTGGTTGCTTCTTATTTTGTACAGCCGTCAGACACTGTTAAGAATTTGTGATTTTTATCAGGATCCATTGAGGGTTTCCGCCCCCAGGGATTCCAAATTCTGAGGCTTGAGCTTAAAGTCTTTTCCGAACATGTGGCAGTGATACCGCTTTGATAACAATTACAATTAATTAAAATTGTGAACCATTCATATTTCTAACCTCTATTCAATGCAAGAACTCCTATAACAGCAAGATCTCATGTAATCCTATTACTTGATCCTTTATCTCACGCGTTTCTGAATTCTTCTCTCAAAATAAACCGGGAAAACGAGACTATACGAGACTTTCCAGAAATCAAGTAACGAGACAAAGGAGAAAAATTGCCACCGGAATAAAAGTTTGAATCGGGACAATATTTGTGTCTCGTATTTAGAAACTTGTGTCCCGCATATTATGAAACAATACAAGACAAATCAATGTAAAACAAGCCCTAATGTAACAATGAAAGATACGTCTCAAATATTCCAGACCAAACAAAATGTTTCATTACCATACGTAACGATATGGCACATTCCGAAAGACCAGATTAACAAATAATAAATTGACGGTTGATTGTTCATGGGCAATTGTCAGTTACGGGCAGAGGTGGCGACATTTGTCGGCCAAACCAACTTGGGAGTTGAATAAATGGCAGATTTGGTGATGTATGTCTATATATTGAGTGAATGTTGTTAAGCCTTCAATCACGCCTGGCGAGAACCGAACAAGTTCAGTACGAGTTCAAACACACAAATCGTAATTGCATCATCACGCGCTGGTGACGTAGTGTATTAAGTGAGGCACTAGGAGAAGTGGAAGGATACTCCCAAACACAGCAAGGTTCCATGAATCAAAGGCGATATCCGGGAACTTTTGAGGAGCAAAAAACAAGCTCCTCAAAATAATTGACCGAAGTGTAAGCCGGGCATTAAATTTTGAACATTTGGTGGAAACTTTGTGGCAATGTCCACAAGGTCAATGATGACAACACATCGGGCATGTGTAAATACTCGTTTCGTGTCAGCACTGTTGAGTTCGAAGAGCTACACAACATGAAGAAGTCCAAAAGAAAAATTCTAATTTGAATGAACTTGAGAACACCTGCAATGGGTATGAGCCTACATTGAATTTTAATTGCAGAGTCCTGCACAAGAATATTGAATGGATAAATCTTGAGTTATGATGTCGGTAAACTAAGGCTTTTATTTAAACCCCAGCAGAGCATTGAAGAAGGCCTTTGGCGCCACCAGCTGTATCCCACGCAGCAGAGTAATTATTTTAAGCCAAAGAGCAAACGCACTTAATTGTTCACTTCGTTGACATTATTCGTTTGGCATTCAATTTGTACATCAATGACTTTTTACCAAGAAGCATAACCATTAAACTAGTTGATGTCTGCTTCTTGAAAACTTTTTAGACAAAAGTAGGCTCACAAAGGGCAGCTACTGGCCGCTACGTACTCGACTCCTGAAGCCGGCAGGAAGCTTGTACACGAGGCCGCTAGCACGATTATTATTGGCCATATTACTGATATATAGGAGAGGTGGCCAGAACAGGCCACGTGTTAACGCATTTTATGAGTCTTCAGTTTAAGAACGCGTGGACGGGCTTTCTCTGACCATTCAAATTTAATTTTATTTCCAGTATGGGCGTTAACGAAGCAGTTAAAGTTATAGAGAACATATTCAGGGTTAACTTGTTCGCCTCATAAAAAAATATATGGAAATTTTAAAACTCTAATATTGTTCGGGACGTCTCGTCTCTTTCCGTCTCCGTATCGTCCCGGAATTCTCACCGAGAGCTGAAAAGTGTCCCGATTTTCATCGCTAATCGGGACAAAGCTTCTTGTCTCGTCTCTAATAGGAAAAAAGTACCAAATACAGAAATGTATACTGCATGTACGAGTTTCCCATCTTCACACGAAGCCAAGCACAAAATGACGCCCATTCGCTGCTGGCTATATAGGCTGTTGTTTCACTTATGTTCTATTAACCGGACTCCGAATTTCAGATGGGGTTTTTCGAACATTAAAAAGTATTTACTTCGTTAAGCCAACTTTTTCTTGATGAGAATTTACAGGAGTTTTATTCGTGTTTAAGAATTGATAACATTGAAACATAATTACAAAATATATCCAATTTAGATAAAAAGTAAATAGGTAAATTTCAAGTAACTTAGAAGCGGTAACAAAAATTGTTGCTCAGCAAAATTTCTAGAGGTAACAAAAGGATTTATGTATGACGTTTAGAAGAAATAACAACACGAGTTACGAATTGAATTCACTACATTATAAAGAAAACGGGCACATGAAGGTCTGAACAAAAATGTAACTTGGAGCGTTTAGAAGAAATACCGATTACAGTTATAAATTTATGACTTAAATAGTAAGATATGTAGGTTTCCTACGAATGATATTTCCGTCATACGATGACTTTTGCCTTCTTATGTTCACTTTTGTAATTTTGAGGCTATTTCGCCGGTTGGTTTTAGTTTTTTAACTAAAATCTGACGAGGAAGCTGGTGAGGGCAATACTGACGAGGGAGCTGGTGAGGGCAATACTGACGAGGGAGCTGGTGAGGGCAATACTGACGAGGAAGCTGGTGAGGGCAATACTGACGAGGAAGCTGGTGAGGACAATACTGACGAGGGGGCTGGTGAGGGCAATACTGACGAGGAAGCTGGTGAGGACGATGCTGACGAGGGGGGCAGGTGTGAGGTGGACACGTGACTGCTATTCCTAAGATATTCTCAGGTGAAGCGTACCAGAGTTCATTTAGGTACCCCACCCCTAGTCCATTCTGTAAGCACCACCTTCGACGGCTAGCAATCGCTGCCCACTAGCGACACCGAAAAATTAACAGAGCTCCCTGTGCTCGAACCCAAAGCTAACTTCTTTTATCTCGGTGCCGCTACCACTGCGCTAAGAGTAGCGCTAACCCTAACAAAATTTAGAGTCGCCCCAGCTTCTGGTAATCCAATTAGAAGCTGTCGCGTCTGTAAATTTTCACTGGGAACCACTGCGCTGCAATGGCGCTGCTGAGGGCAACCACCAGCGCTGGCAGGGGTTGCGGTCCAGGAACCAGGCCCTGAGGTCAGGGTATGTGTGGGGCTCAGGCCTGCCAACCGCAAGTGTTCCCACGCGCTGCCGTGAACTGAGAATACGACGAAAAATGTACATGAAAGAAATATGTATACTCCAGTGAACCATATGACCAACGTTCACTGTATACTTATACTGTGTTTCATGGGAAAATTGTGAATAATTTAGTCCCGCAATAATACAATCATTTTTTAGGATTATTTCGACGATAAAAATGGGAAACCAGCCTCAGAGGTTATAAAAAAGTTAGCTCTGTTCTTGTTACAAGAAAAGAAGAACACAATAAAAGAAATGAAACAACACAGGAAAGATTAAGCATTAAAATTTTAAAAGCAAAGAAAACTCCTTTCGAAAATTCTCCATATCAATACGGAACACGTTTCGATGTCCAGTTCTATAACAATTTAGAAAATTCTGAAACATAAATGCAATCAGTAGGTAGCGTAGTCGAAATTAAAAAAAAAAGGCAAACCTATCTATTCACAATTTCAAGCGGATATGAGCAAAAAGCTGCATTCAAGCAAGGCTTCAATTTGAAAATATGAAATGATTCTAAAATACGCATATCAGAAGTACCGGAAGTAGAAGTAAAAGCATTAGTCACTACTGGATACTGAAACGACTAACATCGTCGGTGTGAATGCTCACGAAAATGCGCGAATACAGCCGAATGATGGGGGGAGGGGGTCGCGCTAGTCACACCTACTCTCTTCACGTGACAAAATTTTTGGCATGCCGGAGCTTCTGCTGCAGATTCGCCGCAGTAGTGTTGAAATTATTCTGGGTTTGCTTGGTTACCCAATCAAAATCAGTGACTATTTAAAATCTCCTTACCAATTTTATTGTCGCCAGAGAGTATGAAAAGAATGGGTTTGGCCAAGTCTACCGAACCTGCAAGCTGCCTAAGGGCTGCACTTCAAGCCTAGAGCAGATGACACTCAAGTGAAAGCCTACCAGACGTTGATTGGCTTGCTTTTCCAGCGCCTGCAAAACTTCATCTAGACATGAATATTGTATAATGGAAGACCCGAACGCGTGCGTGCGCACGTGTACGTTTTGTTTATTCGTCAGCAATAACTCAACATTCGTTTTCGATTGCAAAGTTCCATTTTATATCCTAAATACACTATATACGTAGAGCAAGTAATTGTACACTTCGAATCTAATGGTAGGCTACTAGGACTATGATGGTGGCGTATGCCTACAGTTCTAAATCATTGCCAGGTACTTCAAGTTTGGCACGAAAGTTTATGACATAAGAAAGTATATACGTAACTTCCCCGAAAGTGTCTTCTTACCATCTGGAACTCCCTCGTATATCACACTTCGGGAACCACTTTTTAGAGAAACTTTTGTTAAAGGGTTAGAAAAACTCGTGATTATCTGGTTTTCAGAATAATGTAAATTTCGCTGCAGCGATGAACCAGCATTGATGCATTGGATGATTCAACTATATAAGTAAATGATTACTTATAAACTGTGTACTTCTTTAAAAATTAATCATTTCTTTAAAAACTTAAAAATTATTCTTTATAGTCAAGAAAGGAAGATTTCATTCATTGTCCATTTTCGTCATCAGTAAGTATATAAAATTCTGGATTAGTGCACAGGTCGTCGTGGCGCGCTGAGATGCGGATGGACCTTATATGCCCTGGTTGCGGTCCTTGTTGGAGTCATCGTTCTTTCGCCAGACTGCAGATTAGGTGAATGTAAAGTTATCTCTCAACTCTTCACTGTTTACTGATGACTATTGCGCCGTTTTTCTTTTTATGTGTGCAACTGTATGATAGTTCGAATCTTCTCTATAGTTGTAAACATGAGACGATCGTACAAAAATAGGGAGAATGTCTGGCGCACTCACGCCGTGCAGTGTAACGTTCCTGTCCCCTATATAGTGACTCTGAAATTTTAGCTTCCATTTCAAGTGCTTCCGATTTGCGTATTTTAGGATCATTGTATATTTTCAAACAGAGGCTAAATTTGAATGCAGCCTTATGCTCTTATCCACTTGAAATTGCGTATAGGTTTTGCACCTTTCTTTCTTACTTTGTCTTTTTCCGAAAATTTAAGCTTTAGCCACTGTGTTGAGTTTATACTGTAGGAGCCACAGATTGTATCTGTATACTAGAATTTTTGAACTGACGATGGATCAAAACTCGGAAACGTTTTCAGTGAAGATATGTTGAATTTTTGGGAAATTTTTTTGCTTTTCAAATATTACTTAATTTACGATTCGAGCAATCGAGTGACAAGGTAAAGTGGATCAGTTACCTCTCATTGTGATGCACCATTGGATGCTGGTGCAGTTTGGCGCACAGATCACAGATGTGTGGACGAAACGGATGCCCAATATCCACTTCGTAGTCCTCTCTCCACGCGAAGTAACTGCAGATGGACATCAAAAAGCATTCTAAAGACTAGAAAAAACTCACATTGCAAATAATTCCTTTATAAGTCAGTGTCAATTTAGAAACGAAAGTTCAGTAATTCAGCTACGAATTAAATGAGCCAAATTTTATATTTAGCAGTCGTGGCAATGGAGTTTGATTGGCTCAGGCAAATGCTCTTGGAATTTCATAGCCCACGTGAACATGCGGTCTCATAACCTGATCACGTCACACACAAGAGTTTTCACTGGTGAAATTATGAGTTTCATCTGTCCCCTTATGATGACACGCTATTTTGCTGAACTGACCAATATAGATGATTATAATAATGTCATAGGAGAAAATATGTTTGGGTGTCAATTTGTCAGGAAGCAATATTAAAGTGCCACTTTCGGGGAGGGGAGAGTGTAAATATGAGGGTCTCATGTATATATTATATTGTATATATGTTTAACCTCCGGACAGGAATCCAATGACTATGTGATGGCAAGCAAACTCACTCGGTCTTAGACTCGTCTTGATGTGTGGTGGCTACGTTATAAAGGAATAAAGTATACGGCTAAAGCCTGGTTAACATCATACTGCCGGGCACATGCCAGACATGTGTCAGTCTCGGTCCGGTCCAATATAATGTATTGCATTTCTGTAGAGGCATTTACATCAGTCGTGTAAGGCACCTGCCAGGCCTTTGGCGTGAACGCTTCCATGGAAATGCTGTAAAGAATATCTTGTTACGATATTCTTGTTGAGAATAAGCACCCCCAGTATGGTCATGTTAATGATATTTATAAAAATGATGAATTTAACAGAACCCGTTGAATAGAGAAAATTTAAGACCGTCATGTCGGAGTAGCAAGGAGTGGTGCATCGCGGTGGTCGTGCAAGCTACTGGAGGGACTTGCAAGCCCTATTATAGACTTGCTGCTTCCGCCCACAGAACTCTTGTCTTCGGTAAATACAAGAAGATTTGTATGCTCAAACTACTCACTGACAATTAACTATGTATGATTGAGTCATCACAGAACTTGTTGATAAAGATGATCGCATTTCACCTTGTGCGGCTGCTATATCACTGTAATCGTAAATAAAGATGAACATAATTGACCATGCAACAAATGCCTTTTAAATCTGAGTGAGGATTAGCATTTACCATGGTTTGTTAGCTACAAGCAATAGCTAGTAGAACAAAACAACATATCATCGTTCGATAGTCACCGCCGCCAAAAACATTCCCAACGCAAATAGATTTACCTGTTATAAGCAGTCCTATTGTTTGCGGTTGCCAACAGGAAGTTCGCCAGCAGCTCAGGACTGGCAAAGTCCAGAGCATTGATCACTGAATTTGGCGGAGCATAGAAATGGTAGTCGGCACCCCCAAACACAACAGGCACCACATCACGCGTCAACGCCACGTACAGCTTTTCTGTCACGTAGTCGGCACCTGGGACGACCGTATTTTTAAAGGGTGAAGTAAGGCTGACATGTCGTAGTAAATCTTAATACACTCGTACTGTAACGCTACCTGATAGCAAAAACAAACTCACAGAAGTCATTTATGATGGAAGAAGTAGTGCTCTCGTGTGACCTGGTCGCAGTCTCTACTCACACAAGGCGTTTTCGAAGGCGAGGTAGAAGTAGTACTCTCCTATGACCTGGTCGCAGTCGCTGCTGTTGAACTTCCCTTTATTACCGAGAGCGAGGCTTACTCCACACGTCTTGTTACCACACGAACCATACACATCCATTGGAATGTACCTGCACCACGTACATGAATGGTATTTCATAATTAGTAAGTTCGCCAAACAAAAGAGATATGGATTGAAGTAGTTATTGTGTCATTTTAAGTTAACCAGTGTGCAGTAAATTAAGATGTGTTTTTCGCTTTCTTTTTAGGATAACTGAAGTTGGTAATCTATTGTAAACAAGCTATCTATGTTCTCTTCAACCGGCGGAGGGCGCGTGGAGAATAAAAAGGGGAATGTTCGAGAATCAGTTAGCTGTAGAAAGAATGTCTGCGACATCAAGCAACGGCGACTGGCCGGACATGGCCTAATATTCAACGGTGACACAAATGTATCATCATTTATATCGTATTTATAATACATTAGAGTCATCGCAGTTGTCGTACCAGGTTGCAGTTGTCTTACTTGCTTAGTTCGGCAGCGTAGCTTTCCCTGCGGCTGTGCGTCTGGCAGTGACTCACCATCCAGGCTACCATTTTCTCAATTTCTTTTCCGGATGTATAGTCGTGGTCACGTCTCCAGATTTCCGGTACTGCGATAAATGACTTGCCGAATGGTTGTAAATTACATTTATAAATGTTTCATATTTTACATGGTTGTACGTATTGTTCAATGTTGTATGTTTTCGCTTGCACTTCGTTTGCTCTTTCAATTTCGTGTGGAGACGAAAGTAGTGTACAACATGTTCCAAGTCAATTCTGAATCGTTAGAAAATATCAAACATAAATTTGACGCCACTATTGATAAGGATCTTTTTTTATATTTTCAGAACTACGGCTTTAATCCCCAAGCAATAAAATGGTGACTCTACATTATTCCATTTAAATTCCCCTTTATCATCCCACACAATATGCGCAAAAATGCTTTGTTATAAAATATTTCATTACAGAAGTCACTCGATCTTACGCGTTCTCTTCACGACAACGCCATAAGGAGCCACGACATCGGAGTCCCGTCGGTACGACATCGTCCAGTTCACGACATTGTTGAGGCAACCCCAGTCGATGCGACGATTTGCCTGCGCTGTTCAAACAAAGCTAACCTAACAAGAATTCATTTATCCAGCATGTTTAATACAGATCAACTAATTTATGTGCGTGATGGAACCTGAACTTTGATATGCATAGACGCATGGAACCGCTTGAGCAATGTTGGAGAACGTTCACACAAGTTTGAGAGAGCGTTTTAAACGAGGCACAATATGCGAAGAACCGTTCACACAGCCTGAGCGCTCCACAACAGCCTGTTTGAGAGCATTTGACGAAGTTCTTAGTATGACACGCGTGTTAGCATGATTTTCTACATCGAGGTTTCATATTTCGCAATATTAATTCCCGTTTTCATAACCGGCTATAAATATTCATACCCAAATTAAGTAAGTCAAACTCAAGATTAGAGCTTGGAGATTGACAACAATATGTATTCAATTAGGAGCGTCGTTTGTTTCAATAAACGAAGGGCGTTTGAATTGCTGTACTCTCTGGACGAGCAACGTTCATCCAATGTTCGCACGCAAGGTTCGAAAACTCCCTTACGTGCACGGACAACGTTAGCATTAACCTGCATCATATTCGTAATGTAACCGCGTTCGCAAACAACCTGTGTGTGGAAAAGATCTCTTGGTCTAGCGTGCATCGCAGCAACGCCTGATACAAGCAGGAATTGATTTCCCTGACATTCCCTGATATTCTGTGATATTCGAGACAGTGGAAGAGGAAATTTCGATATAAATGTACGGCAAATCAAACGATGTTAATGATTAACTTTATCCGTAGATTTTTTGGTCAAATGGAAAGATTGTGCTACACAAGGCTAACAATAAAATCAGAAAACTATGCGGATGATAGCATACTCAAATTTTCGTATCAATATTCATTTTGAAATTCGGCGCAACTAATTCATCAACTCCTGAGCTCGGCACACTCCAACTTGGTAAGCTCATTGGTGCTACACTAGCCACCTACCGTCACTTTCGTTGTAATTCTGTAAATTTATCATTTTATAGCCCTGTAATATCATTAAATGTTTCTGTCAACACAGAACATTTTGCGCCAACAAGACGCGTATCAATTTTCTTCCCCTACGAAAGCCTTGGGTTCGGAGAAGATTAACTCAGTAAATACAAGCCATTAATATTATTGACCTAACAAAATTAAGTTTAATGATAAACCAAAGAAAAGATTTCCCAAAGGTTATTAGAAGCTACGTATATATTCCTTTCATGTTACGGCATTCAGATAAATTTTTTAACTCTCCTATACGAATTAAAAATCTCAGGTTGATATAAGCCGCCTTATGCCCACAGAGAGACAGCTTTTCTCTCCGATCAACCTAAGTGATTGTGTTCAACTCACTAAATGGTGGTGTCACTTGCTCATGAATATGATAATTATCAGGTCCATGTCCACTCAAAAATGTTATATTAAAGTAAGTTATGCTTTTCTTACGCCACTGATGCCCTAGTAAATGCATTCCTACCTGGTGGAGCCTCGAAAGAAAAGACCAGCCAGGGCTGCGCTTGAGGTCGGGGGTCTGGCAGCGGAGTGGACTGCAGAAAGTCTACGGTGTGGAAGACCACAACATCAGCGCTGCTGAGCTGTGAGCGGTCATGTGTAACCACACACGCGTTCACCTCACACTGTCGCTCGTGCAGCCTGTAAACATAATGATATCTTTATTGATATCTAATTTATCTGAGTTAAGAGAATTAAGATGTCAGCGTTAAACAGGGTCAAATCTGGACTGTTCAGAATTCTTACAGCTTGTTGGGGCATTGAACCCGCAGCTCGCTGCTTCAATCATGGCACTCTGAACTCTAACTACTGGGTAACTCTTTGCTATCGAATATTTCCCTTAGCCCAATCACTTATTTAATGATTCTATAATTTTCTTCTTCTTAATGAAATGTTTACCAGTGAATAATCATTGGTTCGTAAACTTCGTATTTCTCGCCTTTCTTTTATAATCTATAATTTGCTCCTTCCTGATAGTTAGTTAGTTTAGTGGCCAAATGTTTACTGGCGCTTCAGCTATTCAGCTATCTCGCACCGAAAGTCAAGATGGACATCACCATAGAGGTGGAAAGTCTCAATTATTCATCACCCACAAGGGGCGGAAGGTCTCAATTGTCCAGCCCGCTGAAGCTGGCTCGAAAGAAGCAGCGTTAGCATCTCAAAGAGACGAAGTGACAAGGAGGGACAGGTGAATAGCAACAGAAACTAAGACACTCGAACAAGAGGTCGCTTACACGGGACGTCGGCCGCCCGCACGAGAGAGACAGAGAAGGGAAATGTAAGGAATCCTACCTACATAATAACTTAACCCCACAACTGAGACCTACAGTCAGACACCGCGAGCTCAACGGTGGGGCGCTCAGGAACAATCCCCCTAGGAACGCGAAATCCCATAGGACTTCTGACGAGCACAGACACCCGTCAGAAGTCCCCCCTGAGGGGGGCTCCTTCCTGAAAAACAAATTTACACGTAGCATGCAAGTGCACTATTTTCGTATCACTCATACTGCCCAACAAATTACTTATGTGGTGTAGCGAACATAAATTCACCTGGCGAAGATGGTTTCGTAGTACTTGTATTTCTTCCAGTACTTGGTCCAGAGCAAGATCTTCTTGGGCAGCAAGGTGTAGAGAGACGTTACTGCACCATTGGCAGTTGCGTTCCCAACTGCTGCGTTGTAAACTGCTGCGTTGTCAGCTGCTGCGTTGTCAACTGCTGCGTTGTCAACTGCTGCGTTGTCAACTGTTGCGTTGTCAACTGCTGCGTTGTCAACTGCTGCGTTGTCAACTGCTGCGTTGTCAGCAGCTGCGTTGTCAACTGCTGCGTTGTCAACTGCTGCGTTGTCAACTGCTGCGTTGTCAACTGCTGCGTTGTCAACTGCTGCGTTGTCAACAGCTGCGTTGTCAGCAGCTGCGTTGTCAACTGCTGCGTTGTCAACTGCTGCGTTGTCAACTGCTGCGTTGTCAACTGCTGCGTTGTCAACTGCTGTGCTGTCAACTGTTGCAAGGATAATTGTCGCAGAAGAGTTCATCACAGGGACCGGGGAACGGAACCTGCTGGGGGGTTGAATGAATGAGTTCGCTTATAAAATTAAGCAATATATGCAGTACGATTAAAATTTCATGAGTGAAAACAAATCAAGAAATAATCTGCTAAGGAATAAATCAATCGAACTATGAAAAATTTTGTTGAAAAATTCGCGTAGCTCGCGTAGCTCGCGTAGCCTACTCATTTGAGGATGGCATGCTGTAGCCCACTCCCCTGCGGATGGCATGCAGTAGCCTACTTTATTATAACTATTATTATTATTATTATTCTACGAAGCATTTATCGTGGCGTCTGGTTCAAACGAACTCCGATGGCACGTAATAGGTACATAAGATTAATAGCAAGCAAAAGATAAATAAGCCTAAGATAGGATGGGAACGGATAAAATTACTAAGCACTAGGTTCATAGGCTCTACGGAGTAGTTCCGTCTTTAGGCGTCGACGAAACACCTGCAACGTATTAGCCGAAGTTACGGAAACCGGCAGACTGTTCCAGTTCTGGCGGCGGCGACCGGGAACGCTCTTTCGTCGACAATAGATAGACGTGTTTATGGTATGACGAAGTCCGATGTTGATGACGAGCGCAATGTCTTCTATAAGTCAGATGCGACACGCGCTACAGACCTTCCGTGAGATAAGGAGGCGCCAGACCGCGAAGGCATCGGAACGTCAGGACAGCGCCCTTGAACTGCGCGCGCTGCTACATGCACAGCCAGTGAAGATCGCGCAATATCGGCGTCACATGGTCGAATTTTCGCTTATTGCACACAATTCGAGCAGCAGCGTTCGTTACGGATTGTAGATTATCAAGTGCCGTGGTCGGCAGTCCACAAAGTTAGGCATTACCATAAATCAATCTGGTCAGAACAATTAAGCGCCACCATGAGGGCCTCATGGACCGGCCTCGAATGACAGCGGCTGATGCTAGGTATTCGTCGCAGAGCGCCAAATCAAGCGGTGGTGACTTTGGCAATGTGACTGTTCACTGAAAGTTCCGAGTCCAACAGAATGCCCAAGTTGCAAACTGCGGACGCAAGAAGGACGAACTCGTTGCCCAAGCTAAAAGGGTTGGCCGAAAGCTAATGCTGGCCCCGAACAGTCGCAAACCAAATAAATTTGGTTTGATGCATTGAGCTGGAGCCGGTTGGAGCGCATCCAGTCTGAGACAGCGTCCATGCAGGCATACATTCGATCCTGCAACGCTGCGGCGACAGTCGGTGCACCGTAGCCATAAATTTGGGTGTCGTCGGCGAACATATGCGGATTCAAACTATGCGAATCAATTATATGCAACACGCCGACAGTATACATATAACAGGAAAAGGATCGGGCCGAGAACTGATTCCTGTGGTACGCCGCAAGTGACCAACGATGGCGAAGAAGAAGAGTTTCCGCGTCGAACGCATTGGAATCTATTGCTGAGATAGGACTCTCTCTATTCACAGCAGCACTGTGCCGCGCAGGCCAAATGATACGTCAAGTCGACGGGGATGCATGCCAGAGGCGGAGTGGCAGCTTGTGTGCTGAAGCAGTGTTGGTTTAAAGTTCGTGTGGTGAGATAGGTCAATTGACTACAGCTGCTTAGGTGTCAGGATGACAATATCTATAGCATTTAGATGGTTGATGTTGGCTCCAGGACTGATTTGAGAGTTAATTTGCTGGTCTACGGTCTTAATTTGCCGTGTCAAACGCGGCCAACAGGTCGAGTAAAGCTAGTGCCGCAGTGTCGCCCCGGTCTACTGCGTGCAGCGTGTCCTAAAGCACCTTCAGCACGGCGATTTCCGTCGAGTCGAGATGACGGTATGCAGCCTGGAGGCGAGGCTTTACTCACCTGGCGGTAGGTAGCTTACTCACCTGGAGGTGGGCAGCCCACTCCTCTGTGGATGGCATGCAGTAGCCCACTCACCTCGAGGTGGGCAGCCCACTCCTCTGTGGATGGCATACAGTAGCCCACTCACCTGGAAGTGGACAGCCCACTCCTCTGTGGATGGCTTGCAGTAGCCCACTCACCTAGTGGTGGGTAGCCCACTCACCTGGAGGTGGGCAGCCCACTCCTCTGTGAATGGCTTGCAGTAGCCCACTCACCTAGTGGTGGGTAGCCCACTCACCTGGAGGTGGGCAGCCCACTCCTCTGTGGATGGCTTGCAGTAGCCCACTCACCTAGTGGTGGGTAGCCCTCTCGACTCCATGTATACAACAGCCAGCACGAGGCACAAGCAAGACACGCCAAGCGCCGTCAGTAACTTCCTCCTGAAGCTCATTTCGCTGAACAATAATTCCAACTGTAAGGTCATTGATCAACTAATGTCATAGTAAATAATAACAAATGGCCCAAACTAAAATAGGGAATTTGGTTGTTATAGTCGTTTTATTAGTAATCAAATTCATTTCTGCACTTATATACGAGTCGTGCTGAGGATTTGTACGGGTTAATTACTGCATTGATTTTGTCACTGACTCACCGGTGAAAATGCTAGCAACTTTTCTAGATCTTATTTGTATTCATTGCCTGATCCTCCGTATGTATGCATATCAGTTCAAGATGTATGCATCGTGAATAAATTCATTATTCATCTGACCGTGGTGCACATACGGTGATCTCAACTTTCCTTCACTGGCCGTTAGTTAGTGGCATACTCGAGCGGTCACTTCGTCATAAAAACACCTGCATTGTATGAGAAGCACTTTTCAGTAACTGAATCACTTAGAGAACATTTATTTCGGGTAAACTTAGATTCAATTAAACCACTGCCGGTATTTTTTGTTTGATTGGAGCAACAGCGCTGGTCACAGCACTGCATGCAGTGCGGCAGGTAACGCTACGTTCAAAAGAAGCACACTCGTTTGTCTGCCGCTCGTTGATCATCAGACAAATTTTCTAACATTAATTAGACGCCCTATGGCACTCGACACTATCTAATCGCGACTTTTATCTAATCTCTTCTAATCGCGATGCTCATCTAATCGCATATCTAATCTAATGGACCTCCAGCGCATCCATTATACTCCTCTAGACCTAAAAAGAGATACTCCAACCCCATTTGGAAGACTATCACACTCATTAATAACACAGAGCAAGTGTATTATTAATCGGCCCCTATCATCCTACCCTCATCACCAACAACAGCACAACATCACAAGAGAGAGTCCTACTCAACAATCTGGCATTTCACAATATTCACCTACATCCAAGCAGGGCCATCACACCATTAGACCACATCTCCATCACAGCCATGCACAACCTCGGCCAACTCCGTACAAATACCAATTCATCCCACAGATCCTTCCTTAGAGCAAATTGTACGCTATTCAAACATACAACTAGACGAAACACAAATACAGAACGCCACCGAAACCTCTATCATAACCATAACACACCTCTTTATTCACGGCATTAAACTCGCTAACGAATATTTACTAATACAAATACAATACCAAGCCACTCTCCAATACATTCACACCCACGGTCCATCACCAACACTGAACAGATAACTCATTACCCAACGTCAAAAACTACATATACGTAATACAGAAACCTGCATACACATGCACGTAATACAGACACCTCCATACACGGACATGGCAGGATCTCATCTTGCCATCTTGAATTGTTCTGCAGGATCTACCCGACCTCATTTCGCAATTCTGGTATTGACAACAAGATCTCAATATAATAATTAGTCAGTCGTCAGAGACACAAAAGTGATTTACATTAAATATTTCGTTTATTTCACTCAAATCTTCAGGCTCGCGAAAAATGTACCAACGAATTTTACATTGTCGCTTTCAATGTTAAATTTTGCCAAATTTTTTGAAACTCTATTTTGATACGAAAGAAGGGCTGCTGGCGGTACACTAGGTACGAAAACACGTTGCACTCAAAAATTTAGAGCTCACAAATAAATATTGGACAACCGAAACATCTAACACAAATTGGACTCTACTAACTCAAAAATTACAACGGCATGAAATCTCACAAACACCTTATAGAGACAAGCAGATATCAAGAAATTCAGGTCCTCCCAAAATCGCATGCTAGGTTCCAACGCCAAACAAATCGTCTCATACCGAAAATACAACATAAACATGATCCACCTGAACAAAAAGAACCAGCCTTACCCAAGCACTAACAGAACAAATTCACTCAGAACAACCATGGACTTAGACACCGATCACATCCGCAACATACAGGACCATGTATAAGTATAACAACCTACACCTCATTCAGCCGACCCCACCCTCAATCACGGCTCAGAGCGCATTAAAAACATCTAGACAGAGAACACCTGGTGCACCAGGCATCACAACCTACGACACCTCCCGAAAAACACGAAGCCACTACATTTTTACAAATCAATCACTCCATGTACGCTCTTCATTTCTCCGATTCATTCAAATACGCCCTAATGACTTTCCTCCCTAACCCAACACATCACAAAACTAAGTTCCTAAATACAGAATGATTTCACTCCTAGACATAAACGGGAAACTGTTAGACGCAATAATAAACGAAAGGTTCGACAAATACCTCGCCATGCACACCAATAGACCACAGTCATTTACGAAAAACTTATAGACGTACTCAACATCAGCCACATTCCACGAAACACTCGACATACATGCACCTAGCACAAAAGACTTCACAAACATTGTGAAGTGTTCGTGCGCATTGTGATTTGCTCCGCTATGTGTCCATAACATGCGATAATGTATGGCACAGCAGACTACAACAAAAATCATACAACTCAACCTCAACATTCCTTCAAAAAACTTTCAGACTTCTTCGCGGACAGAACATCATCCATCAGTATTTCAGAAGAGGTAATCGCAAAGGTACCATACTCCAACTCAACACAGCTGTCCCCCGAGGGGTAGCACCTCCCCCACTCACAGATTTATACTCTTTGTTGTGAACGCAACATTTGCCTTAGAATACTAATTCTGTGGTCTTGCGTAACCTTTTCGTTTGGTAGTCATCGTTCAGCTGCGGAGTAAAGACCAAACTAAGATCAGGAACGAAATTTGGTGAGCCTAGTTCTTGTGTTTGAATATTTCTGTTTAGAAAGCCTTTGTAATCTACTGTAATGTTTAATATTTTCGAATATTGTTTATAAATTCAGTAACATTTTTTCTTTTAATAAATTTTGTATTTGCACCGGTTTCTTTGCAGAAACCGTGTCATCTGGGAATATGAAGCAAAAAATGAAACTTGATGCATACACGCGTATTCAAATAATCCTGCCTTAGACAACAGTTGCGCTGAAAAGCAATAAATGGTGCGCAACACTTTTATTACGGAGGGTAATTTTTTACCTTTGTCTCGTTATTGGTTTGCGAGAGATGTCTCGTCTCGTCTCGTTGTCCCGGTATTTTGAGAAAATAATTCCGAGACACAGTATAGATAAAGGATCGATGAATATGATTACAGAAGGTCCTGCTGCTGTATGAGTTCTTGAACTAATTGGGGGCTATTACTGGAAATGTTCATTTATACCTTCAAAGCGGCATCACTGCCGCATTTGCTGAAGCGGCGCTAAAGCTCAAGCCTCAGAATTTGGAATCTCTCGAGCGGAAGCCTTCAATTGATTCTGGAAAAAAAAAACACAAATTCTTAACAGTGTCTGTGGGCTATTCAAAATAAGAAGTGTTCAACCATAGGTTTATAACGAACAATTTCTTCAAGCTCAGCAATTATGTACGACATCTTCTCGATTAGATCAAATCAACAGGAGATCTAAAAACAGGTACTTCGACCGGACCTTTTCCAAACTGACGATAGTTTGAAATAGCTACTAGACTTTCACCGGGTTCGATATGGTTCTAGGCATTTCAAGTCTGAACATATATTTCTCCATAGCTTTATCTAGTCTGTTCTTGAACGCGTTCATACTCGGAGCGCCAACGATGTAATCGGGGAGGCTGTTCCACATGTAATAATAATAATAATAGCGATTTCATCGTTTATTAGGCCATATGCCTGTCGCCGATTCTTAACATCGCAGATCATTCACAGCTTGTTGCGGTCTCGAACTCGCAACTCACTGCTACAATTCTGCTGTGCTTAACCGCCCGGCCTCCTCGCCGATTCTGACCAGAAACTGACGCACAGAGCTGGATCGAACCCGCGCCTCTCTGCGCCAATCTTGGTACTCTGAACTGTAACCACCAGGCCACCCTGCACTAGACCCATGTCGGTGATTCTAAGCGAGAAGATATGTTGTCGCGTGGATAAGTTACAGCGCAGTTTTTTACTTTATAGCCGTGGCCCCTGGTGTTGGTTCTTGTTTCAAATTCTGGTATTCCTTTTGGGACTTTGAATAAACCATGGGTATACTAGTATGCAGTATACCTCAATGAGGTCCCCACGCAGACGTCGATAACCGAGGCTTGGAAGCTTCATAATCTTTAATCTTTCCTCATAGGACTTGCCCTTCAAGCCTGGAATTATCCATGTTGCACGTCTTTGAACACTCTCTATTAAATTTTTGTCCTTTTCAAATTTCGGTGACCACACAACGTTTCCAAACTCTATATTCGGGCGCACGACAGCAACAAGCAACAGCTTCATCGCTTTTGCATCTAGGAACTCGTAAAGAGCGCCTGATCAGTCCAAGAACTTTTATTTCTGGATTTATTAGCTTCAATATGCTTATTATTTATTATTAGCTTATTTATTAGCTTCAATATGCTTAGAAAATTTCAGTTCCCTGTCGACATAAACTCCTAAATATTTCCACACTAGACTTTTCAATCATTACTCTCTCGGTTGCAACTATGTCTTGTCATACTGTAATCTTACTGTTCATTGTTCTTCCCGAGATGAAGTACTTTACACTTGTCAGTAATAAAACGTAGATGCCACGTATCAGCCCAGGTAACTAAAATGTCAAGATCGTCTTGAAATTACACTTAATTTAACGCATCATTCACTGTATTATAAACTTTTGTGTCGTCGGCATACATGGAGCACACGCTGGACACTACTTCTGGCAGATCGTTTATAAAAGCTACGAACAAAACAGACCAATAGACGCTTCCCTGCGGCACGCCACTGCGCACTGATGCCCAGACTGACACGGTATCTGCTATCTGAATAATAGATCCATAGTTATCACCATGGTATCCACCTCACACCACACGTATCCACCTCACCACTGCACGTATCCACCTCACACCGCACGTATCCACCTCACACCGCACGTATCCACCTCACACCGCACGTATCCACCTCACAC